GCCAATCGCCGGCGACGCCCGCAGCGCCGGCACGTCCTCGCCCCTCCCCCGCTGGGCCCTGTCGGGCGTCCAATCAGGTGGCCGAACCTCCTTTTTTAGGGCGACGCGCGGCTTCTTCGACGCGCGGCTGTGACGTCAGAGACACGGACAAGATGGCGGCCTCCGGGAAGAGGCCGGAACATCGTGGACCTCCTGAACTGGTGAGAAGGAAGGAAGAAAGGAGGGGGATTTCTGGGGGCCTCCGGACGAGGAAGAGGGAGCGGGACCAAATAGCCGAGTCTAGGGTTTCCCAAAGTTACTTTTTTGGACTACAGCTCCCAGCATTCCTTGGCCCTCATGGCCATTCCGGCTGGAGGATGCTGGGATCTGTAATTCAAAAAGTAACTTTCAGGTTTTCAGGTCTTTTTCAGCTCTGTTTTTCCCAAGTGGTTGCGTTTTGTTTCATTTTCTGCTCCTCAGCGAGGTCAGACAACAACTTCCATCATTCCTTACTGTTGTCTAACCAAGACTGATGGGATATGCAGTCCAGAACCCCCTGATGGATATTACAAGTGCAGCTCCTGTAGAAAACTCCTTTTGAGTTACTCTTTCCAGTAGCCTATCATCCACCTGCCATAGCTTTATTGGCTGGGGGATTCTGGGAGTTGTGGTCCAGAAGCATAGCCTTCCTTTCTCGTGCTTGCCCCTGTTCACAGACTCTGTTTGAGTCCCTCGTTCTGAGGGGAAGGTCAAAAAGTGGGCATGTTGACTTACAGGAGCAAAAACCTTCAGGAGAGGAAGATATTTGTAAGGATTAAATTTGCAAAACTTGCAAGGTTTTGAATTATGCAAAACTCTTCATTAAGTACTGTCACTGCTTTTTTGTCCTTCATGTGGATCACTGAGAAAGCTTTGACTGTCTGCTCTTGAAATCAGGATGCTTTCTGGCTGTCTCTCTCAGCCTAGTGTCCTTCAGATGTGCTCACCACACTCCCCTAGCACCCAAGGGGCACAAGGTTGGGTAATAACCTAGCTCTGAGTGGAACCGAGGGGGGCTGCATTGGGGGACAGCTGTCATGCCAACGTTTTTGCAACATCTGTTTCTGTTTCTCTCCTCAGTTCTACGATGAGGTCGAAGCACAGAAATACACACACAAGTAAGGCAGCCATGCATTGTGGTGTAGGAACAGCCTTTTTCCACATTTTGTTTACTGGCTTTAAACATTTAATGTTGTATTTTAAATTGATTGGTTTGTTCTTTGTGTACAAGACAATACACACAAAATGGCTAATAGAGATGATAGGTATAGGAAATTTGGGGCTCTGTTAGCAGGCACTGCTGCATAGCTTGGGTTGGGAACAGGGGCTGGAACAGAGTCTGATGCTGAGTAGAACCTTGCAGAATAACATGCCAGAAGTGTCACAGGAGAAAGGTCTGCTGGAGGGGCCTTTTGAAGGAGGCTTAACTACAAAAGGAGACTGGCATGCTTTCTTTAAGAGAAATGTGTTGTGGGTGTTGGAAAGGCAGTTACTTAACTGTGCGTTTTTCAGTTGCAAGAAGCATGGGGGTGTTGTGGTGATCTCCCCAGCTTTTCCTTCGAGCCTTATACTTACATAATTTTTTGTCTACTGTGCGAAAGCATCACCGTTGTAATCTCTGCATGTCCATCTACAGTTATGGGTCACTCAAACCCACAGTTGCTTCTGCCTTGCCCATTTTAATGTGGAATGCATTTTCCTGATGTTAGAGGTTTGGAACAGAGCGGAGGATGGCAAAGAGGCTTAGGTTGATTAAAGCCAAAACGAATCATGGAGGGCAGGGTTGTTCACCGCCCCTTTCTGGATGCTTCCACTCTCCAGCTCTCGGATGATCGAGATCCAGTCACAGATGTCTGAACGGGCAGTAGAGCTGCTGGGCCTCCCAGAGGACCGTCCATGTTTCCTGCTTGATGTGGGGTAAGATTGCCATTTCCAGAATGAGAATGGCAGGGTTTTTGAGAGCTGTAGTTCCAGAAAAGGACCATTTCTAGACTTTGCAGGATTGTAATTGCAAGAACTGTATTGCTTCCTTGTGCTAATTAACAGTAAATACCAGTACGACTTTTTCCTGCTGAGATTGTCCTGTTCCGTAGAAATTAACGATGGTATGTGTCTTTGTTCCTGACTGTTTGGAACAGAAGAAAGCCCATAGGGTCTTCATATGATTTTGACCTGTGCTGCTCTTGCTTGCAGCTGCGGTTCTGGTTTGAGTGGGGATTACCTCTCTGAGGAGGGCCACTTCTGGGTTGGGATGGACATCAGCCCAGCAATGCTGGGTGAGTAGAACCCATGACCCTGTCTCTCTTGTGGGACCAGTTTTTGCCCGAGGCTGGTGCTTTGAGTGAGTAGAAACGGCAACCCTCTTGGGTTTTTCCCCCTGAGCAGATGTGGCCATGGAGAGAGAAGTGGAAGGAGACCTGATGCTAGCAGATGTGGGGCAGGGAATCCCCTTTCGGCCTGGGACATTTGACGGCTGTATCAGGTAGGAGGAAGCCTGCAGTGTCACGGTGGTGGGTGGCTCTGGATGTCCGTGGAGGCCACTGCTCCCATCATCCCTCATCAATGTGCTGGCTAGGGCTGATAGGAGTTGGAGTCTGACCGCAGCTGGAGGCCTGCACGTTCTCCAGTTAGTTACTGGTGGGTACAAAGTGTTGCTCGTATTAGGGGATTGCTGTAAAGGGTAAGAGAAAGCAGTTGTGGGCACTGTGGAGCCCAGGTGTGGCCTGCAGCAGAAATAAAAGTGAATGGTTGGTCCTGAAAGCCTCCCAGAATGGTCGTATGCCTTCCAATAATGCCATGGCACAGTGCTGTATTAACACCTCCAACTGCCCCACTTTTTGGTATCCTCTTTCCCTAGCCTATTTTGCTGCTTTGGGTGGGAGGTACTGCCCACAGAGGCTTCCAGGGGGCTGTAAATAAAATAAATTCCCTGGAGCCGACAGAATTACCTACCCTATCCTTAAAGGAAAATCCCAGGAGCTTCACCTCTGACCGGCTGCTCTAGTTCTGTTTTCCTTTGTAGCATTTCTGCAGTGCAGTGGCTGTGTAATGCCGATAAGAAGACCCACAGTCCTCCCAAGCGACTGTATCGGTTCTTCTCAATGCTATACACTGCTTTGGTAAGTCCATCCCTTCCTGTTGCTTCCCCCTTTCTTGTGAAGCAGTGCTGAGCGGGAGGGAAACGTACAGGCTGCAGGTGATGTTCTTTCCTCGCCTTCTGTATAAGGAATCAGACAAAGAAGCTGAAAAAAGCTAGTGTGAGGAGCTAATCTAAGGAGAGATGGGTAGGGCTTCAGCTGTCCCTCCGGATCATTCCTGGCGGATGGGGATGTGAAGCAAAATGGGAACTGCAATCACGGCCTGACCAGGGACTGGGGAGAAAGTGGCGTATCTTAGCAAGCATTGCCTGCTGGCCTGAATTTGTGACATGCCCCAGACTCTAGCTATCCATATCCGTGTCTGTGTGTGCATGTGTTTTGGGGAAATACCACTTCATGGAAGTGTCTCTTGGATTACAATTGAGATTTGCTGCCTAAGTTTTTTTTGTGGCGCTCCTGATTTCCTGGTCTTCCTTTCCTCCTCTAGGCTCGAGGAGCCCGGGCTGTCCTGCAGCTGTACCCGGAAAACTCTCAGCAGGTGTGTGTCTGCATTGTTGTCAGGAGCAGGGAGGCTGGCTCAGCAGCACCCATGGAAGGCAGGCCGGCAGGCCACCGAAGCTGGTGCTTCTGTTCTTCCCTGGTTTCTTCTAGAACCAAGATAGGGGGAAAATGCTGGTAAAATCCTCAGTGCTTGTCGATTTAGGCTGTTTTCAACAGGACGAGACAACGTCAAAATAGGTTCTGAAGCTCCCTGAGATTTTCTAGCCTTTGGCTAAAGCAGAATAAAGAGATTTCTGTGCTGAGGGGGCGGGGACTGGAGAGACAAGTAGGAAAGGAAGCAGCGGTATTTGGACTTGGGTTCATTGTTCAACGTCTTGTTTATGAAAGTGATGTGGCTCTTTCCTAGGGATCAGCTTTGTGTGGGGTGGGATGTGTTGGTGGGTGAAAGAATCCTCAGAGAAGTTGCTCGGGAGGCCAGGCATGAAGGGCACCAAAAGCAAACGCTTTCACCAGCGAGAGCTTGAAAAGGGTGGGATCTTAAGAAGAGGGCTGCCTGTTGGCTGGGGCTCCTCTAACTTTCTTTCCCTCCTGGCAGCTGGAACTCATCACCACCCAAGCCATGAAGGCAGGCTTCACCGGCGGAATGGTGGTGGACTATCCCAACAGTGCCAAAGCAAAGAAGTGAGTCCTCTTAGCATTTTTTTTGGGGGGGGGAAGAAAGGGGCCCAGTTCAGAGAGTTGTGGCCAGGAGTCCCCCAGTTGGCCTGGGTGGGGGGGACGGATAGGATCAAGGCCCATGGCTGTGGAAGTCAGGCTGACTCTTCTAGAACCATATACTTGGAAGAATGAGAAACCTTCCTCTCTCCAACAGAGAGGCATGCTTGAATTCTTTGCTCGGTCTTGTCACAGTTTAAAGGCAAGAGACATTCAAAGCTGTGTTTTCTAATTGTTCAATGCAACTGGGTCCCTCACTGGATTCCTTTCCTGAGCAATTATTAAGTGGCAGGGGACTCTCATTTCCCATTCAAAGACCTCGTAACAGGTAGTTGCGTTGAAAGGTTCCCCACTCTCTAGCTTCTATGCCTGAAACGCTGGTGTTGTGTGTCTTTCTCTTTTGCAGGTTCTTTCTCTGTCTTTTTGTGGGTCCAAGTGACGTGCTACCAAAGGTAACATATTAGGAGGTTTACCTAATGTGAAGACAACCTGCCCCCCCTCGAAAGCTCACTGAATCCTGTGGAGTTCTGTTTTGTTTGCTTACAGGGCCTGGGTGCAGAGTGCAGCGGAGAAGAGGCCACACAAGCCAAGTTCACCAATGCAAGGTACGTGGAGCAGAGGTGGGAGTCAGGGATCCATGGCCAAAGAGTAGTTCCTTTTGAAGATACCAGGTTGCAAAGCTAAGAGGAAAGGAAGACTGAAGAGTGAGCGTGCCTTTTGCTGAATCTCACAAAACCCACTTAAAGAAAAAAAAGCATATGTATTACATAGGTGGTTTTTTTTTATGCCGCTCTCACAGAGTGAAATTTTTTTAAAGTGAAATTGTTAACATTTGGAAACTTAAGAGTTGAGGTCTTTCTATTGTTGTAATAAAGTTTAGAAGTGTGACGAAATGAACTAGTGGCTTCAATTGGGCCTGGGAGAGCAGAGCATCTCCGTTTCACCTCTTGATTTCAACTCATGGACTGCTTTGGCCTTGGCTGCCCAGGGGCCAGCGGGAGCCAATTCCAGAGTCCCCTTTTTGCTGAAGTGTTGCTGTGTCTTTTCCCCTGTTCACGGTGCAAGGGCAACTCTTCCCCTTTCACGGGTTGTGGGAAAGACAAACAACAAACAGCGGAGGTTGATCATCACAGCAACCAGGAGCTCTTGGCTGTTAAAGAAAAAAAACTCCGACACCTTCCAGTTTAGTAGCAAATCCACTCTGTGAGATTCCTTTAAACAGCCTGAAGCAATTGCAGCATTTATCCACAGCATCTACCTATAGAAGACTCAGCCTCTGCTACCCAGCCCTTGTTGGTTTGCTACATCTCCCACAAGGACCAGCCTTTGGAACAAGTGGACAGGGATGGGCTAGTGAGAACTGTCATCCAGTAATAGTTATTTGGGGGGGGGGGGGAGCCAGTTCCCTCTCCTGTCATTAGGTGGCGGTAATGCAGGGAGTACAAGAAGCAGCCTCGGAAGATAGTTCAGCGATCTAGCCAAGAGCAGAATCCAGTGGAAACGCCTGTAACATTTTCTCACTCTGCTGTTGGTGCTTCTGCTTTGTCTCTTAATACATTTCTGAGCCCAGTGTAAAGAGCTGGATTTTTAGTATTTGGCTGTCTGAGGGTTTTTTTTGAACAGGTTGTTGTGCTCTCTGGCTTTTTAAATGCATTCTTTGTATTGACTTTAATGACCATTTTTAATACAGTACTTGTTTAATTCATCGTATGATTTCAGTGGTGGTTCTTTTCCCCCTGTGACTTTAATAAAAACTCAATACTGGTCTGGAAACTGCTCAGCGCACTTTTTCTGTAGCTTCCATTTTTTGAAAACTCCTCTTCAAAACGCTGCCGGCAAGAATCGGTCTGTGGCCAGATCACCCCAGGGGTTGCTGTGGATGGCATATCTTTCCTAATTTCATCCTCCACTTCCCTTTAAAGGATACGGTTCAGGGATGCCAAAGGGAAGTCGGTGAAGAAGAGCCGGGACTGGGTGTTGGAGAAGAAAGAACGGAGACGGCGGCAGGGCAAGTAAGTCCTTGCGCTCCTCTCTTTCGAACAGCCTGAGGCACTCCAGTTTCTTAGCCTAGAGGGGAAGCGGCACATCCTGCTGCCATCACTGGCTTCCCAGGGGAGTCTCCAGATGCGTTAGATTGGGCCCCTGCAAGGTGTTACACTACACATTGGGACACCGCTTTGAAGCAGCTGTTCTATTTATCCAGTGAATCAAAACCTTCTCTCTTCTCCTGGACCTGTCTGCATTTTATCCGCCTTTATTCCCCCTTTCCCACTTTGTCTCTCCCACAGGGATGTGCGGGCAGACACAAAATACACAGGCAGGAAGCGGCGGCCTCACTTTTGACACCTCCACCGGCTGCCATGTGGGATTCTTCTTGGTGGGCTTCGTGCTGGTCTGCTGAGTGTAGAGCTGGAGGGTCCCTGCCGAGGACTTGATGGTGAAGAGGGACTTTCCTCCAGCTGCTCCAGCCTTGGTTGGCATGAGTTCTTTCAGACTTTCAAAGAGACAATGTGGATCCTGTCCAGTGCATCAGGTCCGCGTAATGGTGGAGGCAGAGGGGTCTTCTTGCTGCTAGGTTCCTCGTCTGTTCTGTCCTGACTCGGGTGAAATCCCCTTCCGCTCACCCATTAAACGAGGCCTTGGTGGCGAGTGCAGCAGCATGACTGAGTTTTGTTTTTTTGTTTGTTTGTTCTTTGGGAGAGGGGAAGGTTTTTCTCCTCCTGTTCAGGCACGTCCTGGGGTTTCAGCTTTCTAGAATGCTTTGGAACAAGTGGTATGAAGAGGGCCCTGAATAGTCCTGAAGTTCCGGATTGAAATGTTTTTGTGCCAGAAGATAAGACCCTTGCGAGGGCAGGGTGGTTTGCTCTCAGGTAGGCATCATGGGGCATAGCATTTCTCCATTTCCAGTGGAGTTCAGCTTTACCTCCTAGTACAGTCTTGCAGATTGTGATCTGTCATAGCACCGGATAGGAAAGGAAGGAAAAGACCCAGGGTGTGTGTGTCTAATTCCTCTGGGATCTAATTCCATAGCCTTGCTTTAAACTGAAAGGGCCTTGGCACGGAAACCTCCTTTCATCTTCAGGCTAAGCAATCAAACCTGGAGTTAAAATCTGCAGTGTGGTTGAGCATTTGTTAAAGCATTTATATCATCCCATCAAGTACAGAGCTGTGCCTGCTGGCCTGGGCGTCTTGGAAATGTCAGAGTTTATTTGAAAGTTTTTGTTTTAGCAATTGGCAGTATACTGCTTAAATACTGAGGTGCCAGAAGAGCAGTTTGCTGAGACTTACAGCTGATGGAGGCAATGGCTTTCTGTTTCTGCAAAAAGCTGGGACCTTCACACAGTATAAAGAGAAGATACAAAAGAAGACAAAAATCAAGAAGTGCAGAATTCTAAAATTTGGATGCTGTATGTTGAGCAAAACACACACCTTCTGGCCACCTGGCGTAGTTCATGGAAGAGTCCAGAGATGCTTCACAGATATAAATACTTTTTATTCTACATAAAATTCCATCCAGAAAAGGAAGCTGTTTTTACCCCCTGAAGTGTTGGAGAGGGGACGGAGTTTAAGTAAGCAATTGGGGGGGGGGGGTGTACAGGGAGAGGAGGCAAAAGACAGTCCCAGGTCCACAAAAGACAGAAAGCAAGGCAGGTTGGACTCGAGGGTCACGTAAAAGACAAGGGCACTTGTTTCACATAGTACAGCAACGTTACGACTCTGAGGGAGGCCTCCCCCCCGCCTGTGAAAATGCTGAATACGGGCACAGGAGGGACAGTGGCAGTGGTGGCACATCAGAATTTCCTTACGAGAAGGAAGAAAGGATGGATGAGGTTTGCTGTCGTAATTTGGAGAGTGAAACAGAAATAGCTTCCCAAAGCACAAAGACACACCACCGACGGCTCAGTTTCTGACGTGCAACAGAGGCGAGTGTTGAGTGCAGGGAGGGAGGGAGATCGCCTGGGGGGCGCAGCTGCCCTAGTGCTGGTCACAAGGCAGTCCCCCCTGCTCTGCTCATAGAAAAATTGGTGGCAGCCACAGAGAAGGGGAAAAGCAAGAAGCCCAGCAGTTCTAGAGGAAGGCAGGACTGTAAGTGGAGACTCAACACCCATATGTACAGTAGGGGAGGAAGCTGTTTCTGCCACTCCCCGAGACTTGGGGGGCGAGGGCAAGAACCCTCCCAGGGTCTGGGACAATCCCCATAAACTCCTGGAAGCTTGGAGGTTGTGCAGGAGTCTCTTGAGGGAAGGCCCTCCCCGAGGTTCCCTTCTGGACTGGCAGGGAGAGGGGATGGCACAAGCCAGCACGGAGGAGACACAGAAACAACCCCAATGTAGGCAGAGCAGGGGCAAGGTCTCCCCTCTAATGCCCTAAAGGGCCGCCCTGCGGGGGGAGGTTTCTGTGTTGGAGGTTGGGAGAGGAAAGCTGGCTGTTCTCGTAGAAATACTGCTGGTGTTGGAAGGCAGCTGGAAGCGCTGAGTTAAAGACAAGGCGGACACCAGGCCCAGAAGGGTTTGGCAGTGTTTGCATTGCATATATATAACCACGGGCGGGGTGGGATGGGGGGGGGACAGCCTGGGTGCCTTTGCCTTTAAGTGGCCAGGGGTGTGGGAAGGCCGGATCTCACCTATTGTACATCCAGAGAACCTCCAGCTCTCCCCTGGGGGATTGGGCCCCCTGGCTAGCCAACAGGAAGGGGCTAAACAGGAGTTGTATGTTGGTCTGTCCGGAGGTGCCTGTTCTAAGTGAGAGCAGCTGTGAGCGTCTCCTAGAAGGGAAAGTGGCAGGCGCCAGCTCTCCCGCAGGTGGGAAAGCCCTACCTGGGCCTGGATCTTTCCCCCCCCCCAAGATCTGTTCTCTCCCCCTCCCCCCCCGGTAAAGGAAGAGGACTGTGGTGGGTGGAGGGCCGTTTGGCATCTCCCAATGTACACACCCTAGGTTAGGTTAGGTGCCCACAACTGTGTGGAGGCCCGGGCACTTCTGCCTGCCCCCAGGAGGCTTCGATGAGGCCAGCAAGAGTTGGGGGAAAGTTAGCCATAGCAAAGGGTCCTTTAACTCAATAGAAGTGACATGGCTGTGGCGGGGCCCCAAGTGAACCCTAGTGGCTCTTCAAAGAGATGAAGAAAAATGGGGAGGGGGTGTCTCAGGACCCCCAAATAGGGATTCCAAAGGGAGGGAAGACTTCAATTTAGGGGCAGCTGGCCATGTCACTGTACCAGCCAAAGAGCTGCAACAGATATCATAGCCATGTAGCTGGAGGGGCCCCTGAGAGAGAAAAAGAGTGAGGAAGACAGGCTAAGGAAAGGCAGAGCAACAGCTGCTCCAGAGATGTAAAGCCAAGGACTGTAAGTCCACAATTAGGGCAGTGGCAGTCGCTCCCTGGGGCTTGTGGGCCTCTCGAGGACCATCATCCTTAGCCTGTATGGCTCCGGGGATGATGGGAAGTATCGTCCAGGGACAGTTGGCCTACTGGCTCCAGCAGAGGCTGGTGACGTCTAGATTTGGAGGGGCAGTGAAACCACCAGACACGTGCAGGTTTGTGCTTTTGGACTACAACTCCCAGAATTCTGGGAGCAGCAGTCCAAAACAAAAAAATATTCTGGAAATCCCTATGGGTCTTAGTCCCTGCTTCCCGGGAGTTGTCTAAGGTGCTCAACGCCATTCCCCAAAGAGGTTTGGCTTTGAGAAGTCCTTTGCCGTTCAGAGTAACTCCTGGACTGGGCTCACTGTCCTTGCAGCCCTGGAGTTCCCCACAGCCTCTGCAGAACGCTCCTTCCACCTGCCCATCCTTGTCCCTGGGCTTGGCTTGTTGGGGCAGACACACTTTTGTGGGAGAACTGAAATGAATCAAAACCGAGAGGGGGGAGTCCCGCCCCAGGGAAAGGGGTTTGGATTTGAGATCCGGCAGGCATGAGTGTTAAGGGGGTGGAGCGGGTTGCGAAAAAATGGTCTCGGAGCTGCTGCGGCGGCGGCAACTGCTTGGTGCAGTTCATGCCCACAATTTGCACACAGGTACACACACGCCAGCCCTCCCCTCAAAACGCGGCATCAACGCACAAAAAGTCATGCATATGAGACGGATGTCCGGGTCCACCCCTTTCTCCCCTTCCCTTGGCAGCTGTGACGCTCGGGCAGGCCGGAGGTGGCCAGTTGGAGGGTGGGGTGGCCGGCTAGCGGACCGAGACCGGTTGCTCTGCCAGCAATCTCTTCTCCTTCGCCTCTGGGAAGTTTCCAAAGACGAGAGTCCCGGCTTGCGGCCTCCTAGCCGAAAATGCCACCCACGGTGGAGGCGATGACGATACCCAGCACCACGCAGCAGATGATGATCATGATTTTCTTCTGCAAGGGGAGGGAGGAATCGGGACTGTGTCATGGTGATTCAAAAAGTGTTCCTGAGCATGCAAAGAAGGTGACAGAGGAGGGGTATGGAAAAGACCACACACCCTTCGTATCTTTTTGCTGAGTTGATTCCAAGTGCATTGCCCTAAGGATCAACTTCAAGCCTCTGTGCCTACGTTTGCTTTCTTTCCTCTTCCCTCCTCCTTCCCTTTTCCTTTTGCGTTTTGTATGCAACCCCCTGCTGGGGTTGTTCGGCTGTTCTGTAAGTCAGCTAGGAAGCGTTATCAGTGCTAAGGATCAACTTCAAGCCTCTGTGCCTATGTTTGCTTTCTTTCCTCTTTCCTCCTCCTCCCCTTTTCCTTTTGCGTTGGATCTTTCGTATGCAACCCCTTGCTGGGGTTGTTTGGCTGTTAAGTCAGCTAGGAAGCATCAGTATAAGAGCAGAGCAAAAACATTTCGACGGACCCCAGGCTGATCTCTGCAGGCTCCCACAGGGAGGGGGAGTCCTGGAGGCCTCTCCTTGAGCTGGCCCTGCAATTGCTAAGCTTGGACCACCGGGAGTGACCCTAAAACTAGGCAACTCAGAGCTTAATTTCAGAATCATTGTGTCGAGGGTCCATCTGGAGCTCTAGTGAGACCAGTCTGCCCCTCTGCCCCTCCTGGTCAATGGGACTAATGGCATGGGTATCAAAAGGGTGTTCCTGAGCATGCAAAGACAGTTACAGAAGACAGGATGGGAAGCGGATGAGAGATTGAGAAATTGTGTCCAAGCAGCCAAAGAGAAGTTGGGTTACTCCCAAATTTTGCCCGCCAAGGGCAGAAAAGGGCTGAGAGCCTCTTGTCCTGACCCACCGTACTCACCCGCCTGGCCTTGCTCTGGTACTTGACGGCTTTTTTGGTATCGGACACGGCTCTCTCGACGTAGTCAACGGCGTGTTCCACGTTGTACTCAATGCGGTCAATCATCTCACCCTGGACGGAGGGGGGAGCCACAGATTGGGGGCAAGTTAGTCTCTGGCAGATCAGAGTGTGCCATTTCCCCTTTACCTGACTGCTTGCGAGCATCAGAAGGACCAGTTTCATCTGAGGTCCCCATTCAGCGCTGGATCTGCCATAAAGAGGGTCGGGGGAAGGAGAGAGAGAGAGAGAGAAGGTGGGGAATGGGTTAAATCTTCTCCCCATCACTTGGACCTGAACCTGAACCAAACACAGAGGAAGGGAGCTGTGGTGACTCATTGCAAAATGCACACTCAGACCCTTTCCCCAAAAGCCCTCCTTTGAAGAGGCCCAGAATTCTGGAAAGCATCGCTCAGTCTACCCTCTGGGTGCTTCGCAACCCTTTCTGTTCAAACCCAGGTGGGTCGTTGGTTGGTTTGCTACTTTTTTTTTTACTGCTTGGGATAAAAATGTTGATTTTGTAGGTCTAAAGACATGTTGGCTGGAAGTTTACAGGCCGAGGATGGACCCAAGGTGTCTTGGTTTAACCCCGTAAAGCAGCAGAGGAATTGTGGCCGAAAACTGAGTTGCTGGGGAGAGCCAGCCACTGGTGATGAGAAATGCAGGATCCCCAAAAAAAACAGGAACAATGAGATAGGACAAGAAGGTGGGAAACCCTGTCTGGAAAGAGGCACCTGATGCCACAGAGCCTCCAGCAGTATTCTAGGAGAGCAGTCGCAGAAAGACGCCCCCTCCACGCACACAAAAATATGTTCTTGCCTGCCCATCAGGCCTTACAGACGGTTGTGGAATGAGGATGAAAGCAAGGCTGTCCTGAAAACAGCCTAGAAATGTCACAGCAGGCATCTCACCCACGGACGGTATCCTCCAGTAGAGGATTGAGAGCCCAAGAGGTTCAGCACCATGGACAGTTGAAGTCTGCACTTAAAGCTGGCCAGGATCCATGGACCCTGGAGTCACCAGCCCTCTGTGCCTCGAGAGAACTCTGAGCATTTCTGGGGCGGATCAAAGAGAAGGATTAGGAACTCAACCCCTCTCGTAGAAATCGAGGACCCTTTCAAGGCCACTCCGGAATCCGCCGCCACCGTCTACCTATCTGCCTGCCTCTTCAATGCCCCTCTCAATAAAAGGGAGAGCAGAGGTTCTCTGGTTCCAAACCTGGTTAAAGGCCTAAGAGGTGGAATGTGGCTGCTGTTAGAAAGACCCCTCGAGAGGGACATTGGAGGAAGCAGAGTGATGGCGGAGGGGGGCTGGGAGAAGCGGAGAGACAAAGACACAAAGCCCCCCCCTCCAATTAGTTTTGTGCTCAGGTTTGCTCCACATTAGGGATCCTGCCACCCAAACTGTATTCTTCTGAGACTAAACCCGGTGGTTCTCTGCCTCAGCTATGGATGCGCTTCTCCCTTGTTTATTCTGGTCCAGCTCTTTGGTCAGAGGTGGCCGGTCGCCAGTCCAATGTGACCGGATCCATTCGGTCAGTTCTCCCTGCCTCCCCACCACCACCACCATCACCACCTTATGACCTCCAAAAGAAGGTCTCAAGGAGAGCATGCAAGAACACAGACAGTCATGCAGGAGAAACATGCAGTCCTCCAGCCCGGGGAGAGGGAGGCGTTACCTACCAGCGCCTGAATGCTCTTATGATCCAGGTATATACGGCCGCATGGGGGAAGGGGACAGAAAAAGGGAGTGGTGAGAGGAGGGACAAAAGGAGGCCATCCGGCCAGCCCAGGTACCCACATCCCCACCTCTTCTTGCCCTGTAAGGCCCAACAGTCTCTTTAAAGGATCACACCTCTTCTCCCCCTCCCCAGTTACGGCAATTTCTTTTATTTTTAATGTAAAGCATCAGTGCTTTTAAACTGCAAGGACTGCATGGATAGGAATAACAAGACTCCAGATTTCCTTGCGATCACTTTCGGAATTAGATTCCATGAGAGACGAATATTCAGCAAGGCGCCCAAGCTAGAGTTACGAGAATTAACTTTTAAAACTCGGCACATGAAACAAAACCTAGCTGTGTGATTCGCGCGGGCAAACCCAAAAAGGGAGCTGAATCACCCCTTTAAGCCAGGACCCCTGAAATGTAAACAGGCAAACACTAAAATACATACACAGATTGCTCTTGAGCCCAAGATGGCTGTCATACCAATTACTAAACACTACCAGAATTGTTTAATATTAGTATACAAAATGATAGCAATACGTTGATGTGTATGAGCCCTAATGAGCAGTCAGGTAGGATGATCTTTGAGCCGTCGGCCAAATAAATACAGAAGACAGAGAAGGAAATGTAGGGCTTATCCTGTTTCCTACAGTATTTGGGTCATGTGTAAATTTCAAAAAGAAGGGTGGGGAGATACCTTTATTAGACACTAAAATTATAAGCTGGCAAGCTTCTGAGTCCTGCAGGGCTCTTAGTCACCCCTGGCATTGTGGAGATGACAGGTGAGTCAGTGGTGGGGAGGGAGGAAACAACAGAGAAGTAAAATAACAATAATCCTGGACATCTGTTGAAGCTGCAGGATATGTCGTTACAGTAAAGTTCTAAGACAGAGGCTGAACACTTATAAAATAGAAGGAGGCGTGCGGCTGTCAGGTTGCATCCTACTTTTCCATTTCTTAGACTTTTCTGTTTCTCTTCCTGTATTTTTGGACTGTCTTGTGTGTGTTTTTTCCCCCTGCTGCCTATAGGATTCTCACAATGACCATTTGGCGCTTCCGAAGTTATCCCGACCCCCTTGCCCTTCCCCCTCCCTCCCCGCTCACCTGACTCTCCACCAGCATGGCCATATCCATGAACATGTCGTGCAGCTCCCGGATGCTGTTCTCCAGCTTGATGATCTCGCTGTGCCGCGTCTCGATCTCATTCAGGGCCTGCTTGGTGATGCTGGAGTCCATGATGATCTGGGCAGAAGGAGGGAGAACGTGAGCCACTGTCAGACGGGGAGCAGAGGAGGGATTTCCCACATGGTGTGCATGTGTGCGCGCGCTTCCCCTTGTGCAACGGCCACAATCGCAATTCGGCAAGGTTGAGGAAGTTGCCTTTCTTAGAAGGGCACCCTTCTACAACAGCCAGATCCCTGTTCAATGTTAGAAAGAATTTCTTGAAGGCAAGAATGGTTTGAGAATTCCTTCCTTAATGGCACGGGATGTCCTGGCTGTGGATCTCTTGAACTAGCAGGGGTTGGACTAGATGGCCCCTTAGAGGCCCTTTCAGCTCTACGGTTCTGTGATTCCAACAACTTTTGTTAATTCTAGTCCACCTTTTTTTCCAGAAGCCTCTGATGTAGGGCTGCAGCCCACCAACCTTTTTACCAAAAGTCAGATTTGTTAGGAGTCACAAGATGATGTCTCCTAGCTTACTAAAAACCATCCAGGCCCTTTTAGCAGTTTTAAAGCTACATCCTAGCAACCTTGTTAGGTAGGTTAGGCTGACAGAGTGTGACTGGCCCAAGCTGACCCAGGTCTCCTCAATCCGAGTCCTGCATGGTGCATCTTCATAATGTTTCTCTGCTGCAGATCTATATCCACTCGCCTCGGGTGAGCTAAGAAATTGCTATAGGCGATTAGGTAGGTGGCAGATTTCCCGGAGTCTTAAAAATGCTAGGGGAAACTAACTGGGAAGATCCCTGGGATGATCCAAAGGGGCCTGATGCAATAAAGCCTCTTAAGCATTTTTGGCAGGCCAGGAAGTGGTCAGTGCCTGAATGGGAAACCACCTGAGAAGTACCTTAGATTCCAAGAAAGAAAAGTGGGTTGCGAATTAAAACAGCCAGTTCATAACATTTGAAGACTTTTTCTTTCTGTGGAGCAGGGGCCTGGCCTTTGCCGAAGAGAGGAAACTGCACTGCCCCAATAACTCTCAACTGGCACCCTTAATCGGAGGTTTATGGTATCATGATCAACAAGCAGAGGGAGAGACGTTACCCCGGAGGAGAAGATGGCTGGATTCCCACTCTCCAGCATGTCCTCCAGTTCCTCGCTGGTGGTGGTCCTTCCAGCTGCAAAGAAGGCCAGGAAGCTAATGGTTAGCAAGAGAATGACACAACGTATCCTGTCTCCGAATCATCCTATGTTTAGGGAGACTCCAAATCCTCTCCTTTAATCCTCTGTATTCTTTTCTGTTGATTCTCGCAGTCTCTGCCTTCTTCAAAGCTTTTTGCTCACCCGGAGCCCTGCCTCCCTCTGAGGCTTGATCTGCTTCGAACCTTCGTCAATCAAATTTGTAGAGAAGCTGTAGGGAAGCACTTGGGGGGTTTGTATTGTTTTATTAAAGTTTTGGCTCAGTGTTGCTTTTATCTCTTTTTATTTCTTATTCAAAATATTGTAAGCAGCCTGGAGCTTTTAGTAGAAAGGCATTGGATACATGTGATAAATAAATAAATTGCCACTCGTATGATGAAGGAGGTGTCTTTGCCAAATGCAGTGGTCCCCAACCTTGGGCCTCCAGATGTTCTTGGACTATAACTCCCAGAAGCCTTCACCACCACCTCCGCTGGCCAGGATTTTTGGGAGTTGAAGTCCAAGAACATCTGGAGGCCCAAGGTCGGGGACCACTGAATTAAGGGATGCAGCAGAGAACACTATTGTGAAAGAAAGCACATTGCAACATTTTGGTCGTCATCCTAGGGGGCTTCCCCAGTGAAAGGCATCGCTCTTATGGCAGTAAGTTTCACGAACGCTGGGGCACTCTTAAGTCTGAGAGGGAGGTTCAAATGTTTAGATGCCCCCTTCTCTCCTTCTGGAAGTTCCCAGAACCGATAAACCAAATATACACAGGACTTTTCAGGAAAAAAGTGGATGGGAAGAAATGGCCCAACTAATTCCCCATCTCTGGGATCTTCTCAGCTTGGGTGAGAAGCAGGTCGCTTGTCTGCAGCTTTGCCCAGCTGTCTGATTTATTATTTTAATATAAACTGACTGATCCGTTGTGTGGCAGGGGCGATGAATTATGCTATACAGCTTTGTTTCCTCTTCCCAGCCTCTGGGGGAAAAATTCCAGCAGACATTCTTGCTGTCAGGTAACTTTTAATTGCAATTTTGGCAAACAGGGAGACAGGCCCCGCTGTGTGTTCAGAATAAGAGCGGCCACAGGAAAAGCAGCTAATGAGGGTGCCGAGAAAGGAGAGGACAGCTCAGAGGAAACGGTGTGCCTCCAGAGGATTGGAGAGCACGGGCTCGGCTCACCCCTGGCTGCTTAGAAAACAGTACAGAGAGAGAAGGGAAGAGAGAGCCACTGGCATTCATGCCCAGAAGCAAGCTTCGCTGAATGGAGGCACTGCAGAACGGGAGGGGGAAAAGCTGGAATGAGTAGCCGCAGATACATAGGAGGTGGCGCTCCCACTGTTTTTAACTGCTGGCACCACAAGACAGGCCCCACCAGCTGCTTCAGGTGGCAGATTCTATCACAAAAAAACCTGATGAGTTCTTACATATTACTGTATTTTCCCATGTATAAGACTATACTTTTGTCTAAAACCTTTAGACTAAAAATTGAGGGTTGTCTTATACATGGAAGTAAGCTAAGGAGGGAACAAAAACAAGTGGAGGGGAAAGCAGGGATCAAAGCGATCCTGCAGCGCTTTGATCCCTTTCCCCCTACACTTGCTAAGTCCCACTTACATTTCTTAATTTTGGATTAGAAAAGTGGGGGTGTCTTATACATGGGGCGTCTTATACGCGGAAAAATATGGTAATCAATTCCCCTTTTTGGGTAATAATGCAATGGAAAAAGAATGCATCACTTGTGGGATTTCTTTTTTCTTTTTTTTACCCCGGTGCCAAAATAACGATGTAGGCTTTGAGTCCTAGTGGCATGGGGTGCCGTGGGCTGCTCTGCCTCAGGCAGCGAAAGCTCTTGAGCCAGCTCCGTAGGGCCAAAACACCTCCCAGGGACCTGGGATTTGCTTTTGCTACCAACTCAAGGTGCAGTCCATGGCAAGTACCCCCCCCCCTGTCTCAGTGTCCCACGTGTAATAAGGGAGATGAGCGGTATGGCTGTCGTTCTCTGTCTGGGCCATTGGGTGGCGCAGATGGGGCAAACAGAGAGGCACAACCTGAAGGTCTCACTGAATCATGAGAAAGGTGCAAGGACCTTCCAAAATCAGGATAGCCACATCTCCCACTCCCCATTGTCTGAGAAATCCAGGCCAAAACATGAGATCAGAGGGACATGACCATGTCCTGTCACGGAGAAAGATCCTTGAGATGTTGTAAGTGGCAGGTCCTTCTCACATCCCAGATGTGGAGCAGGCAGTGGTTGAGAGAGGGAGGAGTTTTCCCCAGGCATTATTTCACTGCTTCTCTTGGCTTGGGCAGCAAGAAGGCTCTGGAGCCACAATGCTGGTGCTCTGCTTCCTTCCTTGCTTCAAATGGCCCAATGAGTCCAGCACTGCCATGTCAAAGTCAGAAGTGAGGGAAACAGACTGGGGGGAGAGAGAGTCCATGGCACTATTTGGGCCATAACATACAGAGATACATTGATGCTGACCCATAGACCCCAGGTACCAACTGGAAAAAATTAGAGAGGGATGCTTAGGCTTTAGAACCACCTCATGTACACTCATCAAGCTGTTTCCCTCATTCCAGCATATCTGAGATTTGCCTGAGAGGCGAAGCCCTGGGGATCCCATTCCAGAGCTTGCCCCTTACCTTAGAATTCTTATACCAGGCATAGGAAGCCACCGGCTCCCCTGCTGTTTCAGACCAAAGCTTTAACCATCATTTCCAATGGATGAGGCAAGCTGGGAGCAAGTCAGAAAACTCCGGAGGGCCCCAGATTCTCTGATCCTTTCCTATCTGACTCAGGAAGGGTGATGGGCTTCTCCTCACCTTACCACCCCATGGGATAAATGGGAGGAGAAGGCGGGAGGAGGGGGGGCTCAGCCTCCTACCCCTGTAGGAGGAAGGATGCTCCATCTGAATACCCTTTTAATACCTGGTCAGTAAAACTCTAGCTAACTCCTAGACCTAATGACACCCATCAATCACAGTGACAGATAATCTCTCCTCCTTATCACAACAATACACCCACAACAAGACACACTAATCACCCATCTCCTGAAAAGGACAAAAGCCTATCTCACAGCCATAAATACTCAACTCCCAAGCCAACTACACCAGAGCACAGAGTGCTGTCCTCTGAAGATGCCGGCCACAGAGACTGGTGAAACGTTAGGAAGAACAACCTTCAGAACACGGCCAAAGAGCCCGAAAAACCCACAACCACCATTAACTCCTAGATCCCTTCCCTGTACTCTTTATCCTGCAGGATGGGCAGGTTGCCAGCGCACATGTTTTTGTATCCCCTCTTCCGCCTCTCACAAACCCCCCCTCCGTGCTCGCCACCCGTTCTTCTTCTTCTTCTTCTCCGTCTCCAGCTCTCCCACTCAGCCCTTCTATTCTCATCTCTCCCCGCCTCACCACCGCCCCCTTACCTGTTCTGGCAGCTACTTACACACCCCCACCCTCTTTCACACTGGGAGCTTGAGAAAGCCACACAAACACCATCTCTCTCTCTTTCCCCACCCGCCCAGGGCTCCGCCAAGATGCTCCTCGCTCTCTTTTTGCATCGTGGCTGGTCGGAGTGGCAAGGCTTGAGCGGCGGCCTCAAGCCATGAGGGATGGATCCTCCTTCTGGGACCGGAGGACACGTGCAGGCACCTGAGCCTTCTAGCCTGATGGGTAGAAACGGAGCTGTGCCAATACTTGGAAGGGGAAGGAGAGCTTTCAGTTTCCACAAACAACTTTTTCAAGGGCTCTTTTGTGTGTGTGTGTGTGTGTGAGAGAGAGAGAGAGAGAGAAGCAGGGCAGCTCAAGGACGATAAAATCAACTAGAGTGGCCCTTTGGGTGGAAGACTTAAATTAAAGCCACTGGACAAAACAGGGGCTGTCCAGGGTGCTGAAACCTGTGTCCAGAAAGAGGTTTAGCACCACAGACAGCTCCTTTAAAGGGTAGGGGGGAGATGACTGATAAATCACTCCTTAATTCTCCCGCTTCTGTTCTTTTTGGAGGGGCTGCAATGATTTATTTTCCTTCTGCTCTTTTCCACTTCTTTTTCTTTCACAGCCGAAGAGCACTTTCCCCGCTGTACGAGTAACAGTCAGAAAGAAAGCATCACAGAGCCTGGGGACCAAGTCATCACAAAACCTTTAGCGACGCTGAGTAGGAAGCTTTTAATTAAAGGTGCAAGAGCTCCGAGAAGCTTCGAGAGCACTTTGGCTGTGATCACCGTGACAGATGGCCACAAACCACTTCTGGAAATAACCAGGGGGACAGAAAGGAAAACAAGTAGGAAGCTGCCTTTTACAAGCACTGTGGCCATGGGTCGGACCGTCAGCCACGGCTTTCCGTAGTTTTCCTGAGAGGTTCTTCCAGGTGGATGAAGGTTAAAATTGGGAATAAAGCAGTGGCTCCTACAGCTCAGCTCCTAGCACTCAGCTTTAAAGGGGGAAGGAAAGGGGCTAGTTCAATGGTGCTTAGTGAAGGCTTCTGGGAGTTGCAGTCCAAAACTCCTGAGTAACCCAAGGTTAAGAACCAGTGGTCTAGTAGCCTGTGGACAAGAAGAGGGCCATTTCAGAGAAAAGGAAAAGCCACTCACTTATTTCAAGCTGCCTCTGGATGCGTCCTTTGCAACGTTCCCGGTAGTCAGACTGGGTCGCGTTGTATTCGGACATCACCTCCACGAACTTCCGAGATAAAGTGGAATGCTGGAATGCAAAAGGCGAACACGGTTGCTAGCGGTTGGATTTGTGACACCTCGAGAGGCAGGATGCAAAGTGTGGCTGGACACGGAAACAGTTTTACATGCCTCCAAGCCGGAAGTGGCCTACGCTACGAAACCTGGAATGTGGTAACAGTGGCCCGTGGGGTCTCTAAAAGCCATTTACTTTCTGGAAGACTCTCTTCTTCCCCACCCCCTTCATATGCAGCAATTTTCAAAGAGGAAGCTGTGTTTCAGCATGTGCAACACACACATACAAAGGAAAAGCCCTGAAGGCTTCCAATAAATGTGTTATTTCTAAAGATGCTACCAGACTTTGGGTTTTGTTTTTGTTCTTCTTCTCATTTCTGAGGCTCATAAATGGACCAGTCAACCCCCTCTGTGTCCCTAAGTTAAATGGGGGGGGGGGAGACCAGAACAAGATGCAATTCATGGAAGCAGTTTGTGGCCAGAGGAGCTGACAAGGGTCAGTTCCAGGGATGGCTTCAGAAGGGAAAGCGATACTTTGTCAATTACTTTTTTTAATCAGAGCCTCCCCAATCAGGGGCAATCTATCTTTTTTATGATGCTTGCCATAGGAGCAACCAGAGGGGACATTGCTTTTGCCCTTGTATCCAGCTTCCGGTAGTGCACACTTCATCTAGAAGTGTGCACTACCACCGCCTGTTCATGATGTTCTTACGTAAAGCAGAGAGGTAACTAAAAAGGGTGAGCCTCTGAAAGAACAGCGCTCCCTCCCTCCCTCCTTAAAGCTGATTCTGGCACATGCCTTCTCAACTCTTCACACTTGATTCAAGAACGGGCTGTTGCATATCTATAATTTCCCTATTCGCTCTCCCTAGCGCATCGCCCATCTGCTCAGTTTTTGGAGAGAGAGAGAGAATGGGAAAAGGGGAAACAGAGAAAGGTGCCATTGCTTTATGAAACCAACTTTGCCTCTTTATTGGGGGACTTGGATGTGGGTTTTTTTTCCTGTTATGAAGGCAAGGTGTTTTGTCCCCCTTTAGCCACATTCAGAGGCTGGAAAGAGGGAGAAGCCAAGACACCCCACCTCTCTCCTCACCCATCACAACGATGGCCACCAGCCCTGTTGAAAACTTCCTGCTGGCCTTTCATTCTTTTAAAGTCCCCACAAAGATCTTTTTGGCCTGGGTGGGGGACAGGGGACAGACATCAAACACTATCAGTGCCTTTTTCTTCCTCTCCCATTGTCCCCCCCGTGACTCCCAGAGTCTCAGCATGTCCATAGTGACCTTTACTCTTTTCCACCCTCTTTTCATCTTTTCTCTCCGAATCCAGTGCTTCAAGTCCTACCCCGGAGAGAAGCAGACAACAAGCTTGCTCCACCTTCCCTATGACAGTCTTGATATCTGAAGATGGCTCTCACATGCCTTTTCAACTCTCTTGTCTGGGCTAAACATGCCCAACTCCCTTGCCCATTCCTCATAGGGGTGTCATGATCCTGGACTTTCTTCACCATCTTCCTCTAGACAGTTTCCTACTTTATCTATATCAGTCCTAACAAGCAACCAGCAGGACTCCAAGTGAGGTCTCTGATATAAGCAAAATAAAGTAGGACTATTACTTTCCTTGATCAGCACCCTGTATGCCTACTGCTATGGCGTTGCTGTTGTTTGGTCATTAAATCGTGTCTGGCTCTTCATGACCCCATGGACCAGAGCATGCCAGGCCCTCCTGTCTTCCACTGCCTCCCAAAGTTGGGTCAAATTCACGTTGGTCGCTTCGGTGACCCTGTCCAACCATCTCGTCCTCTGTCATCCCCTTCTCCTCTTGCCCTCACACTTTCCCAACATCAGGGTCTTTCCCAGGGAGTCTTCTCTTCTTGTGAGATGGCCAAAGTATTGGAGCCTCAGCTTCAGGATCTGTCCTTCCAGTGAGCACTCCGGGTTGATTTCCTGCTATGGCCTAGCATAGTATTATTGATTGATTTGCTGCTTCACCACACTCTTAACTCATAGGCTTCTTAAGCAGCTGGATAAGTTCTAGTCTGGCTTTCCTCCACTTGCTGCCTCGCTCATGGTGCTGTGGACGCCAACAGACCATGCTGGTTGCAGTGATGGGAGCAGTCATCTGACACAGAGGGCATCAAGTTAGGCAAGGCAGTCCTGGACTTCTCAGAATGGCAGGGGGGCTACTTTGAGCAGCAGTGGCTTATCTATCGGGCCACATTGGATTTTAACATCTGCAGAAGCCCCCCCTGGTTGTGAGAACCCAACACTGTCCCAGAATTAACCCTGGCCAATCTGGCTCACCCAGAGAGGGGCTCACCTGGGTTTTCCTTATTCGCAGATCTGCTGATGACCGGTTCAGCCCCTCCTCTTGTTCAATACTCTGTTCAATACCTGAGAGGGAGGAGGAAAAAAACAGAGCTTATTTTCAGAGAAGGAAGAGGAGAGAAGTTGATGAGGGAGGAAACTGAGAAACAGATGGGTCTCTCTCTTTCATTCTCTTTGCCCGCCCTCCCCCCTCCTCTTCATTGCCAAAGGCACATTTAAGTCTGGACTAAAAATATCTCTCCCAGAACACAAGAGACCAACTACAAATGGCCCATTTAGAAGAGAGAGTGTATGTGGGTTTTTTTTTCATGTGAATGCCTCTTTGCTCTCAAAAAAATGCACCTTGGTCACACCTGATCAACTTATCCCCCACAGGGCTTTGTGTCTGGATGCGGTGGGATGGGGAGCAGGATACAATGCTTCATTTAAATTTTAAAGGAATCAAAATCTGAGCCAAGCAAAGGTGAACCCTCAGCAACCCAGACTCCTCTGTGTTCTGGGGGCATCGCATCTTCCAAGCCAGCTCTGCTCCTCTCACTGTCGCAGAGAGAAAATGGGAGTCATCAAATTAGTGCGTTGAAAGGGTACCCCCGGGGTTATCTAGACCAACCCATGATGCGACAGCAGTCCCCAGAGGTTAAAAGGGTGACATAGCTGGGTCTTTGAAAAATAGCCCTCCCTTGTCATTGATATGTGTGTTTCAGGGAAGAGGAAGAGAAGGAGAGCGAGAGCGTTCATTCTGGATCATTTAGGAAATAATTTGTCCACATCCAGTAGTTCCTTAATAGAATCATAAAAATCATAGAACTGGAATGCAGCTCAAGGATCTTCTCATAAAAGTCTAATTCTCCATCCATGCAGGAATATGTGGCACTGAAAGAATTTGATGGGTTTTTTTTAAAAAAAATTGAATAAGGGAGAAACTGAAATTGTCACCTAGCCTCAGGGCTTTGAATGTGTCACACTTAAAAATTTGGCACTGAAGCATTTTTCAACCACCTTAGTGTTGTCGAATTAGGGTTTCCACCTCTCTCTCTCTCTCTCTCTGTTTTCTCTTTGGGAACGGTTCCCCATCTTTAACACCTGGATGACAGGCTTAAATTGCTCCCACCCATTGGATTCCACCAGTGCAAGAATTGGAGAATTTTTTTTGCTTTCTTTAAGGAATTTTACCAAGATGTGCCAATCTAGTGATGATTACAAGTCTGGACGTCCCTCCCATTCCTGCTTCTAGACTCTGCCACGACCTCTCCATGACCCACAAGGATGGCTGGCCAGAAATCTTTCCATCTGCTGGTATGGCCACCTTCACTCAGTTTGGACCGAACTCCTTCTTTCAAGCCTCCATCCCTTCCCTTGTCATGGTCGGAGTGAGTCCTGGAAGCTAGTCCTGATGCGCGCACGCTTCCCCACTGCGCTGTTTGCCCTTGAGGAATGGACACTCACTCTTTAGCTTGGATCGGACTTTGTTGGCCGTCTTCTTGATGTCAGACATCAGATCTTCCAGTTCCTCCTTGGTTTCTGAAAGGGAGATCAGTGGGGGGAAAAATGGCTGGTGGTGACACCTAAGGCAGGACATTTCTCCCTCCTCCCTTGGTTTCTTCTCTCAAAAGTGTTCTGGATCAAGCAGTCCCTCAACCTTAATCTGCATCATCCCACAGATTGTTCCTTCTGCTAAAAGCAGTTCGACAACACATGGAAGTGCCACACCTTGAGACAGGGGTGGTGGTGGTGGTGGGGAAGGCGGGTTGCCTTTAAAGACCCCGACACACTTCGGCCTCGCCAAGGGCAGAGACCTGTCTCAAGGGGGATGAACAGAACCAGCTTGTAAACATTCCTGCCAGAGGTCTCCAAACCGACTTAGTAGCAGCTGATTCGCTGGCTGTTTGCCAGAAGGTTGGCTTACAGGCAGGCAAACCACCGTAATGCATTAGTGGGCAAAATCCCTTTGGTTATTTACGCCGGCATCTGGAGGCGAGCATCCAGTGACAAATACACTTGTAAAACGGGTGGCAATTTGCCACTGCGATTTACACCACCGCATAATCGTGCCAGCATAAATAACCAACCGGATTCTGGCCCATTCATCATTCCATGGCCAACTTAAAAAAAAAAACACCCAAATACATGCCTTGTGTCCCTACTAGAAAAACAGCAACAAGAGAAGAGGCAGAAGCAATGATTCCCCAAACCTAGGCCTTAAATGTTCTCCTCCCAGGAACCCCAGCCAGGAAAACCAACCAACGGTGGGCTTCTGGGCGTTGTAGTCCAAGAATCTCCGGGAGCCCTAGAAGTTCAGCCGTTTTAGTGGGCACAGCCAGCTCTTACTTCCCGACATTGGTAGGAAAAGAGTGAAAGCAGCCAAGCTCTCTCTTGGGGGAAGAAAACATTTACGTCTGCTCCCTTCTGTCGAAAAATCAGCTTTAAGCAGGATGCGCCCCATCCTGTGTTTGTTTGCTTTGCTCTTTCCTGTTCTTCTTCGGTTCCCCGGCTTTCCTTCTGTTCCTCATGACTTTTGAGCTGTAACATTTATTACACTCGTGTATGAACAACCGAAGACACCCTTGCAAGTTCCCATTCTGAGTAACCTTTTCCTAGCTGCGGAGGTGCTTCCACCCCCTGGATCTTCCTGGCTGCCCTTTTCTCCAACTTCTCCATGAACGCCTCCTCCCTCTTGGGCATCCTTCCCACTGTAGCAAGGGGGCCTGGCACAGTGTGTGTGTGTGTGGGGGGCTGGCAGGTGCTCAGCGGCATTCACCCCTCCTTCCGCCCCAACTCCACCCCAGAGAGGAGAGAACTGCCGTCACCTGGAACAACAAATGTCTACAAGGTAACCAAGCAACGGTGGCAGCTGCAGCCGCCAGAGAGCCTGGGAGGCCTGGAAGAAGGCAACATGGGCACGCTTACCCAGGTGCCAGCCTGTGAGGGCAAGGCTATAGACACAGCTCCTATCACAGCACTCACTTGGATAGCGCTCAAAATGCCCACCATGCCGTCAGTGGAGTTTTGTGCCAAGATGGCCATTCCCCACCGCTTTCCAAAAGGCTGGGAAGATAATTAAAGGAGGTCTCAGCCACCTTTTTTGAAGAATTAGGAAGACGTCTCAGAAGAACTAGGATGAAAGACCCAAATTAGTATTTAGTGGCTGCCTTTCTCTCCTTTCTTTTCTCCAAGAAGAGGCTAAAAGTGACAGACCCAGCTGACTTCCTCTCCATAGCATCCTCACAACCACCCTGTGGGGTAGGACATGGTGTGTGTGAGAGTTTCCCTGTTCATATCCCTAGCTCTCTGGCTGTGTGGCCCCTTGAACCTGGCTCTCCCAAGTCCTGGCCCTGTTTCCAAAAGCCATTGTGGCCGTGGGTTGGGGATTCTGGGAGAGGTAATCCAACAACAGGTAGAAGCTCAGAGTGGGAACGGCAAGATTACAACCCAGGTCTCCAGACTTTCAGTCCATGAAAGTTTTTTTCACGGACTGAAAGAGATTTACTTAATTTCTCTTTTTATCTGACCCTTTTTCTCTTTATTTATCTTAATTTAATCTTTTAATCTTAATTCATCTACTTAATTTATCTTTTTATCTTCCATCTTGAATGACTGTTGATTGTTGTGAAATTGTTGCAAAATTGTTGCCATATTACAATTGTTTTTATTCTACTTGTTGTGAGCTGCCCACATTGTCTAGATGAGCAGCATATAAGTCAGATAGATGGATGGATGGATGGATGGATGGATGGATGGATGGATGGATGGATGGATGGATGGATGGATAAATTCAATTGTTACACCACACAGTTGCCCCACTGTGGGGGCGATCCAGTGAGAAAGTAGAGCCACAGAAGAACCCTGATATCAGCCTAGGCCAGGGATGGAGGTGGATGTGGGACAGACAGACAGACAGATAGATAGATAGATAGATAGATAGATAGATAGATAGATAGATAGATAGATAGATAGATAGATAGAGGGAGGGAGGGATGGAGGGATGGAGGGATGGAGGGATGGAGGGATGGAGGTGGATGTGGGGTCCCTTCCCATTTGCCTGAACACTCTCCCCAAACATTTTTCGAGTGCCCTCAAAACTGCTGAACTGTCCTCTCAGTGCAACTCTCCTCATTCAGATCTCTTTGAAAATCAGAAGGGATGAATTAGTGCTGCAACCAAAACTCAGCCAGATAAACCAAGCGTCCGGCTTTGCGTAATTATCGTGATTATTTCTAAGTGATACTTCTATCCCAGTTGTACTGCACCCAGTTTAAGGCGGCTCTCTGGCCATGCCCTCTCAACCTGGCTGTCCTCACACTGACAGCCCCGCTAGGCAGGTTGGATTGAGACAGAATGAGCAACCTGAGGTCATCCAGAGAGTTTCGTAGCAGACTTGAACACCAATCTCAGTTTTGAACCCAAATGCAGTTTTAAGCCAGCATTCTCACTGCTATCCCAACCTGGTTCTTCTGTTCCCAATTATAAAAAAGATCCATTTTGTGGGGGAAGGAAAGGATGTTGCCCACACAAACCAAGATATAAGCAGATTTCACTGCCCTGCAAATTAAGCATCACGTTCAGCTCAGGAGCGGCTTTTTCTTATAAGCACACATAAAATTCTTTTTTTGTTTGAAATGCCCATCCCTCAGATGGTAACAGAGTTGACTGTTCTCTGTGTTGCAAAATGTGGAAGAATCTCCAGAGAGCAATTTCTGTCTTGCTACAGAGGGCTGGTGTTTGCAGGGGCTAATAAGGTGTACCCACTCTGTCTGGGAAACCAGCATTCCTCACCCCTGCTAGCTGGCCTTGCTTGCCATCAGAACTCTCTAACGCTGTCCAAAGGCGGTGGCACAGACCTCGTTTGAGCAAAGAATCATACAACGGTGAAGTTGGAAGGGATCCCCGAGGGTCATCTAGTCTGACCCCCTTGCTAAAGCAGGAATCCACAGTTCAAGCGTTCCGGACTTCTGTTTACAAACCTCCAATGGAGAAAATGTCCAGCACCCTAGGAGGTAGTGCTTTCACTGTCAAACTCCCCTTAACTGCCAAGACATTCTTACTGACATTGAAGTAAAATCTCCCTCCTCAGAATCTGAATCCATCACTTTGGGGGCTGGAGCTGGAGAAAATGAGCTTTGCTCATCGTTCCCAAGACCGCTATCCGATCTCCTCCCAGTCTTCTCAAGGTAAACACACCCTCTCCCTGCACTTCCGCCCTTCGTGAAAGGGTTTGGTTTCCGTGCCCTTTAGGTCTCTGGCTGCAGAGCGAGAGGTTGGGAGTTCGATTCCTCACAGTGTCTCCTTGGCAGGGACTAGACTCAATGAACCATCGGAGCCCTTTGAGTTCTGCAGTTCTAGGATTACTGTCAAGATCATTAGATCCCCTTGGTTGCCCTCCTCTGCCATGGCTTATGTTGCTGATGCCATTCTCAAACTGGGGTGCCCGGAATCTGACAGTCCAACAAATGGATTCAATATAGAAGTTGGCCGTCTGTTCAAAACGTTGTTGACCTAAATGTGGATGAAGCAAGAAGCTATGAGAGGGAGAAAATATCTCCCTGGGTAGGCAGAGAAGAGAGAAAGCGTGCCACTTTTTATATTTGCAATGTGTGGGTACCAGTGGCGTAGATTGCAGAAGAGGGAAGGGATTATGGTTTTCAGATAAAACAGGAAGGGCTGAGGAACTCTCTGTGGGTTAATGACAATAAAAGGCAGGGGATTACACGTAAATGCACTTGTATATTATCAAGGCTGCAGTGCCAGTGGTCAAAGGTCTGGAAACCAAAGCTCTGTGAAGTTGAGGGGGGCTGGTTATGTGCAACCTGGAAAAGAGAGGACCAAGAGGTGACACACACGACAGCCATCTTCAAATATTTGAAGGGCTGTCGAGTGGAAAATGGAATAAGCTCACTGTCAGTTGTTCCAGAGGGTAGGAAGTGAACAGGAGATCCAAAGTAAAAGAAAGAAGATTCCAGTAAAATTTGGGGGTGAGATTTTCCTGGTTAGAGCGGTTTTAACAGCAAAACAGTCTCCCTCGAAAGGGGGTAGACTCTGGAGTCACAATCACACAGTGTGGAAATCTGCCTCCTTGTTGAACTTCGGTAACCAAGGTCTAGTTTTCCTACCTTGCTAAGTAACCAATACCTGGAGATTGTAGTCTGTGGCCATTTTTCCAAGGGATCAGTGGATGGGTGGCCGTGGATGGGTGGAGCGTTTGAGGGTATCAAGCTCGCCATCTGCCTCCCAGGCAAAACTCCAGAGAAGCCACAAACCCTCCCACTTTACGCTGCAGCACCGAGCAGATGGCTGCCAGCAAAAAGCACAGGATGGCCTTTTGGGCTGGCGAAGGAAGAGGCGGCGCAGGCGTTTGGCAAGGGGAGGGCCTCCGAATGTCAAGTCAGATCTGAGATTTACAACCCCAGTTCTGTTTCACTTGGGCCCCTTGCACATCCCAAACCTTCTGATGGTTTTTCATTGTGGGCATCTTAAAGAGAGCAGAAAACTACCCCTTGGGAATGGCCAGGCACCTTTTTTTTTCAGGAAACAGAACCTCCCCTTTAAATGTTTTACTCAAATCATTATTTTGATGCAAAATATGTTCAATATAGTTTATTTCTATTCTGAATTATATTTCTCTTATTTACATTTTGTAATCATCCTCTTTGAACTGCACAGTTGTAAGGGACCATACGGATCATTGGGTCCAGCCCCTGTGAGTAGGAGAAACAGCGGGGAATTGAATTCTGGCTCCGCAGCCAGAGACATAAACCACTGAGCCACACCGCAGCTCCTATAAGCTCCTTTTCTCTGAAAATAAACTCTTTACTTTCTTTAGGTGAAGTATAAACAAACAGGATGAATACATGGTCTTTCCTGAAGATCTGGGCAGATGCACACGGGACAATCCTGTTCAACATTAAATGCAACTTCCCTGGCGTTGCTACACACTTCATCCACCTACAAGCCGGCGCCGAAGGTTGTACAGGTGTTGCCCAGATCTACCTCGTGTCACCTCATACGTGGTTGAGGGCCTTGTTGCTAGCCGGACAGGAGCCTCATTCACTCCGCTGCCTACATTACGGCATGGATAATTACAGAGCGCTTTGATGTAATGTGTTTGCTGTGCAGGCGAGATAATTAATTGGTATCTACGTGGCGTACATGCTTGCCACGGGAAAGAATCCTCCATTGTTTCAAGCCACAGGAGAGAAAAGAAGCGCTCCATGGCCGGCCACGGAGGCAAAGTAACTGCCAAGGCCTAGGCCTAGGAGATGATCTGACTCAACAGAGCTCTCCAGCCCCCACAAGAAAGCGGGAGACAGGCCCCACCAGACTCAAACCAGCAAGAAAACCCAATGAAATGGAAGAGGTGGCTCATATGGAGCTCCCATACCTGCCCATTCCTGGCCTATAGGAATCCCTCCACTCTCTTCCGAAAGGTATCCAAAGGTCTGCTGACCATAAATGGTTCTATCAGGAGGCTGAGCTTCGATGGCTGTCCACGGTCCTTAATTTAGCAAAACCCATCCAAACTTTCTCAAGATAGTTGTAGGAGAGAGAGAGAGAGAGAGAGGGAAAAAAGGCAGCCTTACTCTCATCAGGATTTGGGGAGGCCAGGATGGCACTGTGCTTCCGCTTCACCTCTTCCACGTTCTCTGAGATCTTCTCTATGAAACCCCGGATCTCTTCCACCTGGGGGGGGGGGAGAGGAAGCCCAGAGTCAACGGAGAGCTCAAAGTCACCTTAAAAAGTAACAGAATAATAGTACAAACCAAGACTTAGCTACTCCCAACCAGCTCACTGTTCCTAGTGAGCAGGAACAAAATGTAGGCAAACAGCTTTAGAAGACAGAACTCTCCAAAGCAGCCTTAAAGAACATATCCCCCAGAGGTTGTTAATATTAATTTTTAAATGTAGGTTTTCTTTTTTACTATAATGTTCAGGTTGGTGTATCACTGTGTGAGTTGTGTCATTATATTGTGGGCGGTGCTGGGATGAGGTGGGTTTTTTAAAAGGTCTTATTTTGTAAGTGTCCAGAGTAGTAGATGTTCATTCGCGGGGCAGTATACAAACCAAACCAAATAAATAAATTAGGGAAGGGTTGCAGCCTAGCAAACAAGACAGTTCTGAACTGTAGATTCACATTCTAACTGGCATTAGACAAAAGGAGAAGTGGAAGGGGAGGGCAGAGGAAAGCCTGAGACGCCGGTGGTGGTGGTGGAGGAAGAAGAACAGGTTATGCTTACTTTCCTTTTGTTCTGTTTTAATTTCATATTACTATTTTTGTTCCAAAAGGCTAATATTGGCTTTGCAGGATTAAAAGCCAATGAGGAGAATGGTTTGGTGACTCATTCACAGGAACTTAATGGAAATATAGTTACACATTGTATTAATGGCAGGCTTGTCTTTAAAAAAAAAGTGGCTAAATTCTGTTCTTTCACAGAAAAAGTTCACCTGCTTGCTTTTGTGATTGGTGAAGCATCAAATCCATTTATGATTAAATGATTTTTTTGGTTATTGTTCCATCTGTTATCATCATCCCTGTGGGGAGGGGGAAAGACTTGACCAGTGTGGCAGTGGTTAATCAGGAAAATCTGTTTTTGTAGGTGGCAAAAGCTTGAGCCCGCATCCTCCCGCCGCTATGTATTTCTGAACAGCATCCTTAAGTTCGTCTCTTTAGGATCAGAGTGGGCAAAGGACAAGCCTTCAGATGCCACAGACTATAACTTTGGTCCTAGCTGGCATGGCCCACGGGGAAGAACACTGGGAGTTGTAATCAAAAATAATAATAATAATTAAAAAATCCTGACTTTGCCCTGTTTTAGGCTTTCTTCTGCCTCTTCCATACCAGTGGAAGATTCTTAGACAAGCTGCTTGTCCTACGTACATTCTCCTGGTGGCACTTTTTTAAAATTGAGAACTGGCTGCAACAAACCCATGGATTGCTCCGCCAGGAAATCAAGTAGACAGGGGGAAAAAACCCTCACTTTTTAGACAGCAAGCCTGGCCAACATGAGGACGATGGGGCTTGTTGTGTGAAACAGTGATGTTTTCCAAACCCTGGGACACAACCCCCCAGACCCATGGAGACCCCATTGCCTTCCAAGACATGGAAAGCTTAGCTTTCTGGCACAATTCAAGACTCAAAGGGGGTTTCTCACCTGCTCAAAAAACTCATCCATAAAACGATCGCGATCCACCCCCACGGTAACCTCATCATCGTCATCACTGTCCTTTGCCTGGAAACACAAGCCAAGGTTAAAAAAAAATGAAAGTACAGTCAACAGCTGGAAAAACCGGATTCAGACTTCAAGGGAAGCTCTTTGCCTGCTGGCAGAAGGACAACCCAGTTTCTGTTGGAAGGAAGCCCCCAGTCCAGGAGCAACTGCTAAGAAGGTCTTTCCTGTTTAAATGCAGATCTCAGGGTGGAAAACAATGTGGCTATGTTATGAATCTTTGTGGTTCTTTCTCCCGTCCCTCCTTCTAAGATCTAAGGATGGAGTGGTAGAATATACCACATGGGCGGGATATAAATCAAATAAATAAATAAATAAATAAATGGAAGAAAGGACCACAAAGGTCCAAAAGGATACCTATGGCTCCCCAGGCATTATATACATTCTCCACTGGAGGATGCTCTGGCTTGCCAATATCCTTCCTAAACTGTGTTGCCAACAGGTGGGCACATGCCCATGGGAGGCCAGACCCACAGCAGGACAGAGTGGCCATATCACTTCTCTTCACCTGGATCCCAATCCTTCTGGGTCAGGCTTCTGCATCATAAATCAATTTATTTATTTTATTTTATTTCATTTCATTTATACCCCGCCTATCTGGTCGATTGTGACCACTCTAGGCGGCTTACAACACACACTATAAAAACAATTAGGCATATAACATAACACATAACATAACATAATTTGCATAAATGAAAAGAAATAAATTGGCTCCCCAGGCATTATATTCAGAAGGATGCTGGGCCACACAGAATTGAGACTCAGAGTGTCGAAGGATGGTGAAGCAGCAGCAGCGGAGAGCAAATGGGGACACAGCCTAGTCGGTCTCTCTCTTTTCCTCCTACTACTTGTGAAAGTAAAAGTGCCGGAGTGTCCGGGGGGGGGCGGCGGCTGTGTGGCAGCAGAGGCTGAATTCCCATCTGTACTCATCTCTCCCCACCACCAATCAATCGGCCTGCAGGCCTGCATCTTCCTCCAGAAAGCTGGAGCGTGCCAGGGCCGGCCACCTCCCACCGCCACAGCTGCCAAGGCAGCGACGTGGCAGCTTCTTGCTCAGAAGGTGCTGAGGTGGCTGGCAGCAAGGTCCCCCTCCTGCCTTTCTCCTTCCCCCACCCCAAAAAAATCGGTGTTCTGAGGTCACTGCTTAGCCTGTTGCACGGAAGAATCAGCAAGAATAATCTCAAAGCTCCACCCGTGTTTTGGAAAGAGCAGTGGTGGAAGGCACCAGAATCTCTTGAGATGCAACAATGAGGCCAGAGGTTTGTGGGGTTGATGGGGTGTTTGTGTGTGAGAGGGATGGGACAGCCATTGTGGTGTCGATGTGGAGAGTCCCACGTTAAGCATTTTGAGACAAAAGGCCAGATAGGGATGGAACAAAGGAAATAAAACTGTAAAAGTTACAAGAAGAACCCCATCCTTTCTCTGAACGTGGCTGTTAAATTTCTAAGGATTTCTTGCATTTGAGAAAATCCCTACAATAGCCCAGTAAGGGAGCTTAGGAACATTATTCCCACACTGAATATAGGGGACCGAGGCAAAAACAAAACAAAATGGTAGGTACATGGCATGGAGAGATTCCAATGGAGAACAAACGCCTGACTTTTTCCTGACAAAGTGACATCATGGCTCAAGGCATACTTGCTAAAAGAGGAGGGTGAGGAAACTTCTCTGGACGTCTGGATGTTGCTGCACTCCAACTCCCATCAGCCCCAAAGTCAAGCACCATGGGGGTTGTAGTCTCAGAACATCTAGAAGTTTCCTCACCTCTGAGGAAAAGTGTGTGAGTGGAAGGGGGAGGCTTTTCCTCCTATCTGATCTCGGATGGTAGAGGCTGAACTATCCAAGCGATTGCTTTATACGCCCAGAATCCTCCTCTGCTTTTTGCTCCTCTGGGTCCCAAATCCAGAGGTTCATCTGGGAAATGGCTGTGTGGCACTTCTAGAAAGCTTGTTAAATCGCAACCTCTCTCACACATAAAGCTGTGCCCTTACTCTCTGTACCTTATGGAGCAATACTTCCAAACTCACACCCGTCATTCAGCTGAAAAAAAAACACTTGATTTTTCTGGGTCCCTGAACCCCCAGATTTAAGCTCTGGACTGCCCTGTTTTGCATTTTGCAACAGAAAAATAGTAATTCTTTTCCATCATTGGGGACTGGTGACTCTCATTCTTTCCAGGGTGCAGAATTTTCTCTAGCCCCTAGGTTCTTACTGGGGTCCGCGGACACCTGAGGGGCCACAATGTTCTCATTGGGGCCCATGAGGGCTTGAAGAAATGTTATGATTTTTTTGCAGTTAAAATAGATAAAGAGAGTGGGGGGAGAGAAAAGGAAAGGACAAGAAAGGAAACATAGAACAAAATCTTAATTTCCCTTGCTTGTTTGTGTAAAACTTGGCTTTTCTAACCTACCACCTCCATTAAAAACAAACAAAAGTAAAAATTAGTTCTGAAAATATAGCAAATAACTGTTTGATATTTCTGCACATAGTGAGAAAATGATGCTGAGTGGCTGAGAGATAACACATGACATTTCTTGCTACTGTGCAGCCAGAAACTGTGGGGAGAGTCAGAGTCAATCAGTGTCAGTGTGATATTATTATTATTA